GACAATGCCTACAGGAGTGACTTGACCGATCGAACATTATATTACGAGGAACCAGAAGCTTCAATAGATGAGGTCGAAACTCCCTCAGCCCCGAGAGACTGATGCGGATTGGGAGATTTCCACATGTTTCTGCAGCCCCTGCTACAATACCATGAACTGTAGCGGGAGTCATGCCTTGGACTTGCTCATCGTGGTCGTTTGACCCTTCATTCACGTGGATTTTTGTCATATCTGGAGTGGGCTCTACTTCTATTTACCCTAATTCTATAAATATGTTGTTTTCGTGTTTTAGGGTAGCTTTTCTTCGTGTTTTATATCAGTACAGCAGTTGGCAGCCAAGTTTTCCCGTTTTGGGCTGTATTCGACGAGTGGTTCTTTGGTTGTAGCTTGTCTGAGGTGGTGTGTATCCTTGACCTCCCCACATCCTTCGCAACCTTTCCTTCTCCGTTGTTGTTGCCTTTCTTGCTGCAACTGCTTGAAAACAACCCTCTTGGCTGTTCTTTCTGTAGTTTCCTTACCTACCATCTTGGCTGCCTCCCTGCTCTACCATCCTAGCACCTTCCACCACCTCCCGCCTCTCACTACCGCAGCCCCATAAGCCCCATTCTTGCTGTCCGCTGCTTTTTCAGCCACCTTAACAGCATCCCTGCAACCTAGCTGCAGTTCCAACATTTCCCCTTTGCTGCCATTGTTGTTCCAGCCTCCGAAAACCATTACCTGCGCTGTCTTGCTGTTGTCTCAGCTGTCGGAACCACTTCCCCGCAGCCTAGCTGCTGTTCCCGCTGCCCGGAACTGTCCCTAGACGCTGTTTCTTTGCTGCACAGTCCACCTACCCCCTTGCTACTGCCTCTCCAAGCTCCCTCATGGCGGCCACAACCACTCGAGGTCTACCTGTAGCTGAGTTTGTTGTTATATTTCGCTTTCAAGAGTCTTTGTTTGTATCCGCCTATTTGTTTCAGTAATTATATTTGTTTTTTATATTTTTATTTGAGTTAATTCCGCTATCAATATTGATGCCTACATGCATAGGTTTCTACATGATTTATGGAATCAGTATTTAAATGGTCATTTGTATTATGATTTGCAACTGTGAGCTTAAGGAATTTTATGATTGTCAACATATAGTGCTGATAAAAGTTGAAATCAATAGAGTTGAACCAACTCAAACCCAAATTATTGAGCTTTGCCAAATTGATTTCAGGTTCAAAATTCAATTATTATTTTGAGCTGACTGAACTAGTCTCGAGATTCGTTGGCTTTGTGTCAAATTCAAGCTGGCTCGAAACTGAGGTCAGGTTGCAATTTTCAGTTTTTAAAAGTTTGATAATATGTCCCACTTGAGTATCTGCATTGAGCAAGTGAACACGCAAACCAAAATTCAACTCTTCAATCATTTAATTTGCAAGGATAAGCACATGCTGAACATGTAAATCGGTACAAGTGTTGATAGCTTCCCGTCTTCCATTCCTTCCCCCTAAAGGCTTTCATATTCCTGCGTTAGTGAAAACACTAAAAAAAATAAGGCTCTCGGTTCTCTTGAATCATTTATAAAATGATTATGATATTCTTCAAATTGTTAGTGAATAAAACAAATTGAAAGAAAGAGTTTGGACAAAGGATGACTTGCAGGGAAAAAACAATTGATTTTTCATTATCTTTTTGTTTTAAAAGGAAGAAAAAATCACAAATGAAATATAAGAAAGTCAAGCTTTGAAACTACAAACTTTTACCACCTAAAAGAATTTTTTACAGTATGTAAGTCCGAAGAGCAACCTTTTTTGTGTGAAAAAATGGCTGAAATAAATTTTAATTGAATCTTTCTAACAGATGAGTCTCAGCAATAGTGTTTTATGACTCAAATCAGCAGTCCATTGACCCCATCGGATCAGAAGAAGACAAGATGCACAGGGATTTTAGCATTTTATCAAATTAAAGGACAGAGAAGAACCATAAAAAACTGTCGGTATCTGAATATTACCAACTCTTTTGCATAAGAGACTTATTGCTTTCTAGTTTGCTCTACTGGGTTGATCAATTGATGGCTAGGACGCACACTGCATGTCACTGAGGCTGAAAATTCAAATTGGTAGAACAAATCTCTCATGCTCAACTAAATGCAGAAGATTATCTAAACCAATGAAATACAAATAAAATGGGGGGAGAAATCATTGAAAAGCTCATTCATAGGCAAAGAAGATTAGTGAGTGTAAGGAGAGGGAGATGGAGGTGGCAGCTGAGGAACACTAGAGTTAAATTACCCAATTGAATAGCCCAAGCAAATCACTTGAACATTATAAATGCCGCTATAAAGAACATGGATTATAAATAAGTATATCTTAAGCAAATGGCTAAGGAAGTTTGGGGACTTAGAGAAAAAGATCTTTGGGAATTCAAACCCTGTTCTCAACAATAATTGAAAACATGAAGTTCATTACACTGTGTTATATTTATGTGTTATTTAATGCAGTTTGTGTCACACCCCAATTGCCCCCCTCCAACCTCTGTTGGTCGATTCGGTCAGACTAAATTCTCACATGCACTTGTTATGACTTGCAGATTTAGGGCCCAGTAAACTAGTCTAACTAAATCTTCACAAACATACTTGATACATTATATTTCATAAATCATTCATATATTTGGAAGCGTGTAAATCATATCATTAAAATACACATAGATGTGTGTGTGTGTGTGTGTATATATATACACACACCAAAACTGTGAAATACAAAAACTGTACAAGTCGCACCAGACTACTTGCCCTAGTGCTCCTCACGTCTTACTGAAATTCAACGACGTAGAGTCAGCTACAACAAGCTCTCCGAAATAATCATGACTAAAATAAAATTTTGCAGATGAAAAAGAAACAACGTACTTGCTCATAAGTAACTCATATATATGTTCATAAAAGAAAAAAAAAACATGTAATGCAAAGAATCATGACTGATCTATTAGACATGAATATCTATTCATGTGTAATCATAAGCTTCTTCATAAGACTCATTAATTTAATGTTTGAAATGTCACTTGTAATTGTGTAGGCTCAATTATTTACATGTCCTGTCATGTCATGGATCATCACCCAACTCGAATGTTATATCAACTACTGTTAAAGACATAGCAATTATAAATTGCCTCCCAGTACTAATGATTTGCTTCATTTAGTCCCTATTTGTCCCAATAGTTCTGAGAGTTCCCTCTCCTTTAAGTACTAGAAGTCGGGAATCTCATTATTTTCTATCATCCATATTTGCAAGTATTCATGTAATAGTCTACCTATAACATCACTTATGACATTTTTTAGATCTTAATTCCCGTAACAAACATTCATCATGGATATTTCATATATCATATGCATGAATCATAGTAAAGGAATACCTGTAAAAAATGATTTCATAAGCATGTTCATCAGATTCATAATATGGTTAAATCATAGATATTGTAAGTAATAAATTAAGTTTGCATTCATACAGTTTATGAGGCTATTCATCCACAATATGCATAAAATTCTAGATGCAATAGCGTCAAAGACATAATCACATGAAAATCTATATTGAGTTATTTTTCTTAAGTTAACACAGAATTTTTTTTATCTGAATTAATGGAGGAGCCATACGATGAGTTTTTCCAGAATGAATAGATATTTCAACTTACACTCACTAATCAATATAGTGATATTGAGATTTCTTCTTTCTACATTTCCTAGGAAAGACTACAAGGGATTTGCTTTGAAATCTTGGTTTATCTCCTTCTCCAACACTCTCAGAGAAAGATTCACACTTAATCTCACCACAAAAACTCCAAACTCTTAAAGAAACTCACTAATAGACTGCAAAATGTGGTGGAATGAAGATGGAAAAGTGTATGGCTCCTCCATTAATTCAGATAAAAAAAGTGTATGGCTTGTTTGGAGCTTCCCATGTAGTGCAAACCACCTTAAATTCGTAAAATTTTTAGGATTTCATGAAATCTTGGTTTATCTCGTCATTTATGAATTCTAACCTCAAAAGGACTTTTCATCATAGCCAACCCTTCTCTGATACTTCATATTTGTCTTTCCTCTTCCTCCTATCCCCTTAACCCTTCCCGAACCTCATGAATAGACCTATCAGATAGCATAGCTCTCGGTTCGACAGTTTAGCGGTTTTTCCCACAAAGCTACAACAATAGGAAACACATGGAATGCTTGAATTCGTAGCAAATGACAAAAAGGAAACGTAGGGAAATGATTGTCTGGAATATTATAAAAGAGAGTTTCATACCTTTCGTTTTCTCCTTGGAACCCCATACTGTGGGTTTTGGCTCTCAGCCGTGAGCCCATGCACGTTTCTAACTCCAGCTACAGTGCTAGAGTTGCGAGTTCTCCAAGCCAACAAGAACAAATCAGCATGGGGAAAGAAGAAAGTGATCTAAGGCATGTAAGGGAGTATCTTATCCTAATTCTTCCCAGAACTCCTACCTTGAGCCCCGGTTTCCTTGCTCTTCTCACTCAGATTGTGGTACCGGGTAAATGAAGGGAGTAGAGTTGATGCAGCTGACACGTGTATGTGTGTGTGTGTGTGTGTGTGTGTGTGTGTGTGTCTATATATATATATATATATGGGATTAAGGGTAGGAGATTGGGATTTAAGTTTAATTATACTTATAACTCCATAATTTTATATGTTCTCATATGCTTAAAATTCATGCGTAGTACTATATATCAATTTGATCTATTCGACGTGTAGAATTCTATAAAATTGCTTCGGTTGAATTTTGGGAAATGCTAAATTTGCGGTTTGTTTTAAAATTATCAAAGTTTACTTGATTTCTCAAAATTTGGTGTTATAGTCTGGTTGGCATCTATATGTGTTTTCTTTGGTTGAATATGATCAAGTTTTTATGTATCAGCTTCATATTGTATCATATTGGTATTTTTTAAGAACTTATGTTGATACAAATCATCAATATAATCTGCGTCCGATATTTTGAGAATTTTAAATTGTTTCTAATATTTTTTCCAGCGAGAAAGAGAGACAACAATCTGGTATTGTGGAGGCTTGTGGGTGCATATGGATGTACTTGGCCCATCTGCGCGCTTCTGAGGATGGCTTTCATGTTCATTATAATGCGTTCTATGATCCCACAAAACATAACGGTGCACTGCTGCCTCCTGCTGCTTCACTGGCTCCAACTCTTTGGCCCCAGTTTCATTTGAGGTGGGCTTGCCCATTAGAAGCCCAAGCAGGAGAGTTAGAATCTCAGTGGCGTTTTATGAGAAAAAGTTGTACTGAAATGATGAAGGTATTATTTTCACATTGAAAGATTTACATACATGCTACTTAAATCTCATGTATTTACATATCTAACACCTAAACTTCAATTTTTACCTATATGTTGGTCACCTTACCTTTTCATGAGAAGGTGTATTTCACTTTTTACAAGTAAATAAAAAAGGTATTCTTGATGTGTTATGAAAAGATTTGTCTTGTATAAATGTAAAACGTAGAGTTTAGGAATTAGATATGTAAATATATAGGAAGTGAGTGGTATGCATGTAATTTCTCGGTTACATTCTGCAGAACCAAACTTTTAGTTTGTGGTTCGTATGTTGCAGTATTTTACACCAGTAGCCCACCAACTTGTATATCTCTCTGAAGTCTTGGAGTTCCCCCTATGTGATTAATCTTTGTTTATTTTTATTTGCAGGCAAAGGATCTGGCAGACATTAAGGCAAAAGATCTTAAAAATAAGCTGGAGTCTCTAGTTTTAGAAATGCAGAAAGAGAAGCAGTCAGGCATTTCAGCGGCTGCTACAGTTAGAAGAGTGTACAGAGAGAACCTGGCCATAAAGAAAGCAATCCAGTCTCTTGGCTGTGAGGTACATTTCTCAAGCAACAGAAGCCATCCGTTCGACTCAGGAAATATCGTTCCAGAGACGATAGAAGGCCTCACATCCCCTCTAGGTGGGGACTTGTCTGATGCTAAAGATCTCACTGATAATGATGATCTATGTGTCTCCATAGTGGCCAAGGACGAGCATTTGGTTTCTGATAAACCAATTAGCACAGTATGCGAAACATTGTGCCCTTACCGGACACGGGAAGGCTGCAAATGGCCGGATGCACTCTGTGCACAGTTTGGCAGCCAGTTCGTTGGAATAACAGCCAACTTTGACGCATTTGATCGACTTTCTATTCGCGATTATTATTTTGGATCAGAATAACTTGGTGTATTGACAGCTGATTTCGTAGAATATATGGATCTAACTTATAACTGTTTATCTTCACTAAACCTGACAGGGATTTCAGGATGCTGCAGTTTACAGGCGAGACAAATGGAAATGGAATGAATTATATTGTAGCACAATGATATCGGTATTCCTGCAGGATCTTCATTCTAGCGGGTGCAGATTTATGCTTGCCTCTCCTATATTTTAACTCTGCTGGCAAGTGTTCTGTTGTAGGGTTTGTAATTTAGTTCAACACTTGGTGATTACACTTTCTTATTAAATGATTTATTTGTAAATGTGTTTAATAAACTGTATATGCATCTTAATAAACCATTGCTTATTGATCAGCTCATTCCATTTTTTGTTCAGCTGTCTTGTATGAGGATTATATCATTGCTTTTCTATGATTGTAAGTTATCAGTCTTGATATGTCTACTTCCATGTAGTACAGTTTAGACTACAATGATATCAGTCTTGATTAGGTGCTATGGCCAGCTGGTTGGACCCTTGGTAGGATTGTTCACAGTTTCGGCTAAGTAACTCGATCGTTTGGTCAAGTGTTTTCATAAGAGTAATCTCTATTATTATTATTTTTTTTTTTTTAATACAGATCATGAATCTATAATTTTGGTTTATCATGATGAGCCAAATTTGTATGGTGTTCTAAGAGTACAAGCTATTTTATTTTTGATATATTTTATATTGATTTCTCTCCCCTTGTCCTGAAATCAATCAAGGCTCATTTTCTATAAAATCCATGAGCTGCTTTTAGAAAAAATAAGTCTCCATACTTCAGACTTATTTTTCTCCAACCTTAATTCTATGAGTACACCCACTATATATGGGAATATATGCCATTTATGTATCCTAATAACTATGTTCTTGATATAATACACCTTGATATTTGGGGCCTATTAGCCTTAATGGCCTTGCATAAATCAAAGTTGTCTAATTCTCTTTAAAGCCTTGCAAGTCTTTTGACCCATCTTATTATTATTATTATTATTATTATTATTATTATTATTATTATTATTATTATTATTATTATTATTATTATTTTGTTCTTTACATCTCTCTATGATATTGAAGAGATTATTATATATTTTATACTTAATATATCAGACATAAGAAAAACTCTTTACTTGAGAATTCATTTATTAATATGATTAGAATATAATTAATTATAAGGGGTTCATATTTTTTTCATATCATGATATCTATAATTAATTAGAAAGCATTTCTTAAACTAACTATATTTTTTATTCAAAATTTTCTTAGATTATATATATTATGTGAATATGCTTATTAGTATTGTAGCAAAGAATGAAAACCAAATATGTTGTATATTTCCTTAAATTTTGTTAATTAAAGTTAATTGTGTTTAAATTTATATTAAATAACTCATTAAAATATAATGATGTAAATATCTATTATTTATCTTTTCATTATATTCATTAAGTTTCTTCCATAATTTAAATATAGATTATGCCATACTCTTATGTTAAACTGATCAGATTATACCCATAATCAAATGTTACTTAACTGTCTTTCTTATTTGCCACAAATAGAAGCCATTGTAGTAAATAAATGATTGATATGGTAAACTCCTAAATTGTACAAGGCTTTTGAGATAACACATGTGCTTTCTCTTAGCTCCTTATAATGTTCATAAACAATTTAATTGATTTCACAAAGCATCATTTTAATTAGATTTAAATTTTGTATAATTTTTAAGCATTAATTCACCCACTTGAACATTAATCAACCATCAATTCAAAATTGATTTAATCTAATATAAATGGATGCGTTTAGTTGAAAAAAATTGGTTTCATGGGCCTTAGCATAGTTATAATTAAAGAAATATACGTGTTATTTATTATTTTTGAATAATAATATACTAAACTATCACTCAAAAGTCATTTTCTCGAACTACCAAATTGGTGCATTTTTTTTCTTATACACATGCCACGATCAAACTATTGGAAATTTGATAAAAATGAGATACACTGGTTGAGTTGTTATTACAAACTTTAACATTTTAGTAAGAATTTGAAAAAAATGGATGAAAGAGGTTGCTAGTTTTGCAAATAATGAAGTTCAATTATATTCTAAACCTCCTTTTTATTTATTTACCAAAAATATTTTAGAGTGCGCCTTAGCATATTTAATAGAGTAGAATATAAGGCAATCATAAAGGCTATAACACCACGAATCATAAGATAAATGTAACAAAATGTAATCTATGAGCTATAAGATGTAGAGAACTGTCACAACAACTAAAATATAGTAGATTATAGTTAAATATAATAGAACATAAACTCACAATTATCACAAATCATCATCATAAGTATTACAACATTGAATAGCTAATTAGTAAAATTATTTTTAGGGACTCATCTCTCCTCTTATTCTCATCAAATGATTTTAATAATTGGGCTAGACTAAATATTTATTATATTATTTAAATTATGATCATGCTCAACTTTGTGAACTTTGTGGTGTAAACGAGTCGAGTCGAGCTCGAGCTACCTTGTGCTTGAGCTTGAGCTTGATTAATTTTAATGAGTTCGAGCTAAGCTCGAGCTTAAGTTTACGAGTTTGAGTCTACTCACAAACCGACCTGTTTAATATAAAAAAAAAGACAATGATGTTAATTTAAACAAGCTTTATATTAAGATGACAAATAGAATACACAATTATGACATAAATAATAAGAAATAACGTAATGTGCAATAAACAATATTATTTTATTAAACTTTTTTAATATCGTGAAGATAAAATTTTAAAATTTAATATATTTTGAGTATATTTTAAATTAATGTTTATTTAAATAAGCCGGCTCAAGAGCTAAAGAGTCGCGTTTGGGCTGACTTGAGCTTGGCATGTTAGTTCATCGAGCCGGCTCACTGAGTGGGCTTGACTCACTTGGACCCTCTTCTTATTCCCATCCTTCCCTTCTTCTCATTCACCGATCACATTTGGTTCTAAACTGCATACTTCCTAGATTTGGGTGCTGCGTGGGCTATCGAGTCGGCATCCCTATATTCCTATCAACAATCAATGGATTCTAAGGAACGGGATGATTGCAGCAGCTCCGAAAGAGAAAGCAGCCAGAAGCCCCATACATTTCGCCTTTCCTGCACCAAATACTTCGACGCACTGTGGTTTTGCTATTGTAAGTTTTCTACGTCCGGTCTTATTGTTTGGTCCTCATAAGGTTGCGGTTTGGTCGCCATTTATGATTTTGATTCTTAATTCTACGTCAATTTTGAGCTTTAGGTGCTGTTGTGGTTTTTTTACTGATCCGAAGTTTTTTCAGATGTATGGTTTTTCTTAGAGGTGAAAGTAAAAGAAGTGTTCTAAACATGTTTGAGAAATTGATAGTATGTTACTTCTCTATTCAGTGGAGATCAAGTTGGAAAAAAAAAAGAAAGATCTGCTCTAGCTAGATGGGTTTTTCTTATAAAAGTTAGAAGACCTAGAATATCTAATCTGCGTGGCTGGATTTGTAATGGTAGAGATTATGATTAAATGATTGAGTTGTAAAATTTGTATGGCATATAGGCACAGTGTCACAATTTAAACTCTCAATCATTGAGATATTTGTCGCTTTTGGTCTTTAGACATCTTGATTTTTTCTCTCAAATGCAACTGATAGGGAAGGTCACCTATGCTCTGATTGCTCTAATTTTCTAGCTTAAGCACACTTAATTTTAGTGTTCTTGATGAAACGCGAACATTTAAATCACCAGATAGCTAAATTTTTAGGAGTTTTACTTTGCTTAATAGGCTATGAAGCATAGGCACGAACACAAGGACATAAGTTGACGTGACACAGACATGAAAGAAATGTTGTAACTGTAAAATGTAGGATATGATGTGCCATAGACAATACTATATTTTATAAATTATTAATATAGTATATATAAATTCAATTATTTTCTACTAATGGAACCATCAGGTGAAGAGTAATATCATATAAATATACATTAAAAAAATAAAAAAAACCTTAACAATGAAAAAAGAAAACTATATACCATTGATGTTAAAAATGTTTTATCATATGTGAAAATTATCATTTATGAACACGCTCCATTATTAGCATTCATTAATCCTATAGATCCATTTAGGATTAATATACTCTTCCAAGTGATTATCACTAATTGCATTAGTGCCCATTTTAGAAATCATTCTCTTATTACAAAGTAAAAAAAAAACTTTTAATAGCTCAAATCCTAACCTTGAAGTATGAATTTCATAAAAGAGCATAAAAAATAAGTATTTCTTTTTTTATTTATCACGTAAATAGTTAGAATAGAACAATTTCAAATTACTAATCGTGAAAATATTAAAGATGGAATGTGTATGGGGACACACAAAGTCGAAGTCAAATTCAAATATTCATGCAGTCAAAGCCAAAGTGGATGCCTCATGTTGTGGAAGTTGAAGCCGTAGTGCATGAGGACATGTGAAGATTTTCATGCTGCATACAAACTCTTTCACAAAGACACGCTACATGCAATTTTCTCTATGGCATCAACGAAAGTACTCTGTCTCATCATAGAAGAAGAGGCAGATATAGTTAGAGCAAAAAATTTGCATAATGAGAAGTGATAATAAAGATTTAGGGTTACATTGCACATGATTTCTCCATGCTTTCCACCTATTTGCCTCATGTGAACGGGTGTTCAACCTCCATGGGCATGTGTCAAAATCTACTTTCATTCATGTCAGGACAAGTTGCACTTGTCCCTATGTCCAATACATACACGAAAGTCATTTACAAGTGTCCATGCTTCATAGTTAAGCGGTCTTACAGACCTTCACACTTAGGAATTTGGCCCAAAATCATCTATCAAATAGATTTAGTTATAAAAATCGTCCTATAGGTTCAAGATGTGGCTCCCTTCATATGGGTCTTTGTTGTTAACGATTCAAGAAATGGTTATCATGACTAGCACTTTGTTCTACGCTTCTGCATGACACTTGTTTTTTTTTTTTTTTTTTCGGTTTATTGATTTGATACTATTTTTCATTGCCTAAACTTTTATTCAATAAAATAATATTTCTTTGAGGAATGCAAAAAAATAATTCTAATTGATATTCTAGGATTATTCAACATTATTCTCAATGAGGAGAAATTTTTTTTGATGATTTTATAATAAATTTGTACTTATTTATAGATAACTGCAATAATATGGAGGGAAATAATTACTATCGATAATATTCTCAATTAAGAGAATATATTTTTTAATGATGACAAAATACTGTTATTGCTATTCGATATGGAAATCCTACAATAATACTCACCTTCAAGATACAACATACATACATATATATATATATACATACATATATATATATATATATATATATA